AATAAAAAATAAAAAATGAGAAGAAAGAAAGAAAAATTCAAGAGTTGGGTTGTGAAGAAAAACAAAGAAAATTAAAAAAACCAAGTGTCTTATTAGGACACAGTCCTATATATGTCAAGGGGGATGGGCCTAAGCCCCAAGGGAGTCACCTCCGGAAGTAACCCAACCTTCTGATTGGCGATCTATATCACATGATGAAAGGTTCAATTGGTAGAAACAATCTGCACTGCATAACTCATTGACAACACTCTTTTTAGGAGGTTTCTTGAGGAGATTCTTTCTTACTCATCCCTATGGCATCCGTGTTGTAATGTGACGTTAAAGAAGGGCTTTTCCCTGAATGAATTCAAGGCGAGCATACTCTCGCAGGGTATGGGTCGCATATATCCTTGGAGGATTCACCAAAGTGAAAGTCGTCGTGAGACCGCGACCGTAGGAGTTGGGCTGTTCCCTAGAGCTTTAATGAGAATCAAGATATCAGCGCATGGTCATTAATCACGCTAACCCGCCAAACGAAGTCTATTGTCAATACTATGTGTGTGGTATGTTGAAGTTTGACTAAAGGAACTGAATTCAAGACTTAGTTCATTCAGGTTCCTCAAATGGAGACTATCACACTAAGTGTAGGTTCAAACCCAGAAAGCACCTACGCTGATTGCATAGTATAAAGTTACTCAACATTATTTTGCTTATTTATTTTTATTAAAATAGGTGGGGATTGTTGGGAATATTTTAATAAAAATATAATTATATTGTATTAATTATGGTTTAATGGGATTTTATTCCACTAATTAAATTATACTTATGGTGTATATTATTTCTATCATTATCATACCTTAGCGGTTACATATTTTACTCCCTATATATGCTCTATATATAAAACATTTAAAGGAGGTCTTTTGAGGATATGGCAAGATTATAGAGTGACACTTTTGTAAGGGTTGTGAACTTGTTCTATTTTTTCCTTTGAAAGTTATTTGAATATTGAGTTTATGAGCAACTAGACTTATATAGACTTGGACCTAATCTTCCTGTAATCGTGCACATGGAGGAGACACCGCTGCGAGTTGATTAGGTTATATCTTGGAGTTGACTAGTTTCACCAATACCCGCACGAAGGGGAGGACTATCAACTTTAGGTCAATATGTTTACAAATGCCTCAACAATACCCGCACGAAGGGAAAAACTATCAACTTTAGGTCAATATGTTTACACATGCCTCAATAATCAGGCCAGCACTTTCTTACTTATTTTATATTATTATTTTACTTCTTAATTTATATTATTGAGTTAATATTAATATTATATTGATGAATTATTTATCTTGTTAAATTCATGTTATTCATCATTATATTCATGTTGTTATTCAATTGATGTATTATATAATTTAATGAAAGTATTGTTATTTGATTATTGGTGTTATTGTACTGTATATATTTCTATAATTTTGTGGAATTTCCACAACATGAATGAGGTTGAATGCCAAATTATACTGACATGCTTTGTGAGATTTGTTGAGTTTGTAATTATGTTTTGGACCTTTTATATATATATATATATTGCATGGTAGAATTGAGAAGTTACAAAATTGTTGACATCAATATTTTTTGTTGGTGATCAGTATGTTTATTTTTAATGAATGAGAAGTATGCGTTATTTACTTACAAATCTAAAAAGAGGTAAGTATTATTTAGCAAACAAGAAGGAGATCAATGTATATTGAGGAAATATCAGGAAAGGTCCAACTAGTAGACTTGAATAGCATGATTCATAATTTAGTAATATTTTCTCATTATGACGACTACCACATCTTCTTCAACTTTAAGGCCAATGGTTGCAACTGCAAGAGCAAGCCAAGCCTGAAAGGCCCAATATTTTATGAGACTCTAAGTGAATGTGAGGTCCAAAATTTTGAGAGGCCCTGGTGATACAAATTTTTGTAATACAAATCTTTGGGCCCAAATTGGGGGCCCTTGGTGACCGCCTCGATCGCCTAGGCCCAGGGCATAACTTTAATGTCCATAGATGTCTTCATGTGGGTATGGATTCTTTGATTGACTTTAATGTTCATAACTTTATTGAGGTTAATCTTGAAAATGTGACAAATCTAGCACAACACTCAATGTAAATATTAGTTCTTAAACACTATTATAATCATCAAAATTACTAGATTTCACTTAGGTTGAAAGTTTTGGGTTAATATAAAGGTTCGTGTATTAAAAAAAAGAAGATATAAATTCATTGGCACTCGTAATTATTAATGTTCATACTTGAGAAAATAGAGTTAGACATTTTATTTCATGAGTATAACCGTTGGTTTCTAATTCGGTGAAAACACTAAGTGGAGTAACTTATCTCGGTCATTTGAATGGGGTGATTCAGAACCAAAAGTGTTGGCATGTGGAACACATTAAACTGATCGCCAGTAAGTAATTTTTACAGTATTTATTATATGATACTAATGTAAGTTGACTCTTAACCCTGAGAAACTATACTAACTGGGATTATATTAATATTTGCTTTGATCTACTTGAGTGACTTGCGAGTCAACACACTTGAGTATTTTGGGTAAATATTAATACAGTAATGCAGAACATATTTTTCAATATAGGAATCCATGTGTGAAAGTATTTTGGCTAAATTAGTTAATTTGGTTATGCCAGTTATATTTAATAAATAGTTTTTATTATTAAATATATGTGATAAAGCATATAAACATAAGGGACCAAATATTAATTAATTAGTATATTGAATTAATGGTAATATTTATTTAAATAACCAATTAACGTTGAATGATCAATTTATGGTACTAAATAACTATTGATATTCCTGTCCTTTGAGTGCAGTTATTTTTTTTTTAAAAAGTAGAGTTATAAATAATTAATAAAAGTATTTTAACAGAATTTGTGTCAACAAACTAGTGAATTAATGCAATAAATAGAATTTAATCCATTACCATTTCTACAAATTTTAATTGTCAATTGATTATTACCGTTAGAGATCGAATTTTGTGTTTTAAAAACCATTGTAATGATATCACACTTCACTAACATTTGATGGGAGTGTTGCTTGTAATACATCAAACTTCAATAACATTTGATTGGGGTGTTCGTTGTAATACGTTCGTTGTAATACATCAAGCTTCAATTAGAGACGGTTTGTGGGTTACCATTTGAATCCGTTGTTGTCTAGTTGACCTTTTTGCTTTTTTATTAGTTTTCTCCAATACCACACTAATATTTATATATATTCCTAAATTAAGTATCCTTACCATTTAGGTCTGCGAAACAAAATTAAGTATGCTAATTTATAAATGAAAAACCAATACAAAAATTGTGTGATGATTTCTTCACACCGAGTGCATGTACAAAATCTATCTTCATGCATCAAAACATGCCTAAAAAATTCGTGTTCCATTGTTTGGGTGACACGACTCTCCTACCCAATCTTCAGAGATTAGAATTCTCCAATTACTCAAAATTTGCTTGGTGATTCCTTCACACCAAGTGCATGTACAAAACCTATCTTCGTACTAAGGACATCAAAACATACAAACTTTGTGTTCCATTGTTTTGGGTGACTCTCCTACTCAATCTTCAGAGTATGAAATTCACCATAGTCCAGCCATGTGACAGCCTTATTACAACCATGGTACAAAACAAATTGCTACTAGTAGTATTTGATTGTGTGTCATGAAAAATTACAGGCACATAGGATAAATTACACTGAACTCCTTTATAAAATATTTAAATAATAGTATGATGGCAATGGGGCGGTTTTGTGCAGGTCACGGGTGTACCCACCACGCCCCGACCCCGACTCCGGCCCCACCCAAAATTACCTAAACGAGGTGCCTTACCACCCCATTCTTGCCCAGTTATTATGTTTTTGTACCTTGCGGGTACCCGTCTCTCCCCACTTACTCCCAAATGTTTCTCCCAATTTTTTTCCCTTCCCAAACACAATTATATAAGACTACCAAGTATACAATAATACAACCCACGCAAAAAAAATTATCAATAGTCAGGGATGGAGCCAAAAAATTATGTGAGGGGAACAATAATGTGATTTTCTAATAATTCTAGTGGGGCGATAGTGTAATTTTGTAGGTATATATCAAAAATGTAAATTAATAGGATATATTACTAAAATATATATATCAGTATGCCTTGTGGTTTCAAAAATAACACTGATTGGTTATAATTATGAAAATTTTAATATTATTGAATGTAAAATATCTTTTGTTTCAAGTGTTCTCTTGGCAAAATTGAGTTTTAATTAAATTTTAAGCATGACATTAATTAGCATAAAATATTGAAGGATTTTATGACAAGAAATATCAGTATTACCAAGAAGGTCAATGTTGTCCTTGAAATTAGGTCGGTGGGGGCATTCTAAAGGGCGGGCTGAATGTAATTTACCTTATACCATATCAGTCCCTCGCACACCAGCACCATATGGATCCATTCTCAAGCCGCCATATGTGTTAAGTTTCACATATCCCAATGTAGTAGAATTCCACGGGTGCAACCATATGCCAAATTCCCAATGTTGAGCTTCACATCTCTCTCTCTCTCACGCACACACACAGTTACAAGTTACAGCTAATACAAAAGCCATTTCCAAGTTTAAAGAAAGGTAAAAAAGACGACCAAAATTATTACTTCAAACCCATTCACGATCTCATTTTACATCTCTAGGTGTCTCAAAACCACACACACATATAACTGATAAATTCCAACAAAATAATTGAAACAAACAATGACCCATATATACCACATAAAACTAAGTGGTGACCAATGACACCCGTGACAGCTCGAGTCATGTCAATTCCCATTCACAGGCTCACAACTTTTGGTTCCTAACAAAGCCCTTAGTACTCTCTCTATACTATATAAGAAGCAATTATTCCACAACCATGTGCTGTAGTGAGCTATATATATATATATAGTGTGTGTGTGTGTGTGAAGGGACAAATAATTTCTAAATCACAGGTAAAATGGAGATAGGAAGGAAGATGATGGTTGTGGTGGTTGTTTTGGTTATGGTATTCGAAGGGTCCAAAGCATTCGACTTGTGTAACATGAATGAAGATGGTCTGATGGCATGCAAGCCCTCCGTGACTAAGCTGAACCCGGTCACGCCGACCCCGGAGTGTTGCCAAGCTCTTTCGGGGGCTGACTTGACATGTTTGTGTTCTTATAGGAACTCATTCATGTTGCCTTCTCTTGGAATTGATCCGGATCTTGTCATGGCACTCCCTGCCAAATGCAACCTCACCCCTCCTACCAATTGCTAAGGTATTTTCATAATGCATGCACTTCATTTTAAATGGTAGCATTGACCGGTTACGATGAAACAACGTTATAAAATCAAATGAAACTTGAAACAATTTGAAATATTATTTAATGCACAAAATTTGTATGATGTCATAGGACGTCCAATATATATATATATATATATATATATATATATATATATATGGGTATCATAAGAAAAATAGAACTTGCTTGGTTTGTACGTAATTCTAAAAATAATTCTCAAGAATTCAGAAAACATAATACTATTTTGAGAACTATAAAAGATAGTTATCTGAACACAGATATTTTTATAACCGAGTTTTCATAAAACTGAACTAAACATAATTTTTTTTTTTTTTTTTTTGGTACAGTTTTCTGTTTTCAATTTTCTAACTATATCAGATTACAAACCAAACACGCCGTAAAGTTTGTGAATGAAATTACAAAAATACGTGAGTAGAGATCAAATGGTAGTCAGTTGCTCTCTCAATCTCAATTTTAATGAAATTATTATGCACACACCCACACTATGCGTTTTGTGTGTGTACTGTGTAGGGATTATTTGTAGTATGTTGAATTTTGTTGACTTTGTGTTGTTGTTGCAGGTATGTAGATGACCGCAGGCAGCATTTCAATTACTTCATGAAAGGTTTCAATTTCGGGTGCTCGATCGAAGTTGAAGACTCAATAAAATATCAATATAGTTCGAAGTAAATTAGCAATGCAACAACATAATTGATTTTTGGTATCAATAAAACTCTGTATTTCAAAGAATTAATTAATGTACGCCTCACATTTATCATACTAGAATTGTTGTAACCCCTTACATCTAATGGATTTTTTTAGATCTATTTGTTTGAGCGTAAAATATTTTTTTATATTTTTTGGTATTTGATTATCGTAAAATAGTTACGAAGAATAAGAAATATTAAAACTACAGCAAATCATTTTATATGTTCTACTTGATGGATTTGACATCAACCTAGACATTTGCCGAACATTAAAAACAAAAAATAAAAATAAAAGAAAACATTTACATAAAAAAAAATGTCGAACAAACGTAGCCACTCAATCTTATATATTGTTAATCTAAGTTTATTCATGCCAACAACAAATTATAAACAAAGTAGATACATATTATTGTATAGAATTTCATAATCACACATATATTTTATATATATGCACAGTATACACTACAGCCATTCTTGTCTTCGTAATCGTGATCTCTTTGAGTTTTTTCCCCTTCACTGTCCGTATTCATCTTTACTCTCTTCTTTCGTACTGTTATCTTTAATTTTTGCAATTTGTCCTTCGGCCCTCGCAACAATTTCAACTCTTCTTGTTGTTGATGATTGGGGATAGCAATGGGGCTGTCTTGTTTTATTATTATTATTATTTCTTCAAATACAATTATATAAATATTAAAATTTTCCATAAAAAAGAGTAATTTCATTTAACATAAAATTCAAAATTACAAACATTTTATAATGGCTAAAGTACTAGCAGCAGACCAAAAGGTCCAGAACTAAACAAACCAATTGTTCCAAACCAAAATACAAAAGTTTTCGTGTTAAATATCTATACTGATACAAAAAAAGATTAATGTAGTTGTTTACACACCTGAGCGGGCAGGGTGGGATGGGTGACCTCCCCCGCACCGCACTAAACCCGCATAGATTATTACTACTACTAAACAGTATTCCCGTCCAAATAATTTTAACAGTCCTCTAAAACTAGTTTAACCTGCTCGAGGGATGAATTGTCATCCCTTATGATGATCAACCTTATAAGTCTCAACATTCTTGCAAATTTTACAGTTTTCTAGGCGCCAAGGATGCTTGTCTAGGTCCTGAATTAACCAAATTTAGCTTCTTCTTCTAATCCATATTCCCAAGAAAGTATCGATAGGTTACTGTCTCTTTCTTCCATCCGTTGATGTCCGTTTTCATCCTTAACACAAAATATTTGAGTGATCAGAGAATCTGTGTGCATTTCTAGAGTAAAACGTATATAAGGGTTTATAAAGAATTTAAATCACGTATTGAAGCCTGTGATTTATAAGGCATTTATTGATGAAAAATAAGAACTTGGAATGTTTTTTTTTACAAAAAGAAAAAGAAAAAACGAAGATTACCTAATCGTTATATTTGGATAAAATAGTGTTAATTGACTTAGTGATGGCATTAATAATGTTACTCAAAATAACATATAATGGTTCCATCTATTAAAATCTAGATAACATTTTCACATCTATCACGACCACATAAAGGCAAATAAATCAAGTCTCAATATGTTGAAGTTGCTTCAAAAATATGTACGAAGAATATAGAAATATATATAACTCAAAGACACAGATAAAAAAGAGAGAGATTGTTCCTTATATCCCTTCCATTGGACTAACATAACTTTTTATAAGCAAGGAGCCAAACAATTAAATTTGGCAGAATTGATGTTGAGAAAGTTCCTGTTTAATTTATTGAGTACAATATATGGTTCAAAAACCTTCCAAAGCTCTCCCACGCTAAACCTCCCTCTATACACAATCCCATCCCAAACCATCTAAAACCTCCATTCTCTCACTCCCAGATTCCTCCACAACCCACCAAACAGATCCACCCCTCCATATCTATCCTCAAGAGACCTCACTCCTCAAAACAGAACCTCAAATCACGCAATACCCATACAGCAACCCACAACACCAAAGCATCACCAACTCACACACCAAAATAGGTTACATTTGCCGATCCAAAATCAACCCATTGCAAATCCAAGTTTATTGATGATCATAACAACGTTCTTTGGGATGTTGATCCAAAGAATACCCAAGCCATGGTTGATGAAATATTCAAACTCAGAGTGGAGCTTGCTAAATACAGGAGCAACTACGAATACAATCATCTGCTTGAAGAGGTTGAATGGCTAAGGGGTATCATTGGGGTTGGGTTGGAAAACCAGAGAACCCTGAGATAAAGGAACACAGAACTAAGTGATCAGATCATTCAGCTCAATCACATTCACGACCATGGTGAAGAAAGTTATCAAAGTGCACCACAATCCTTGCTTCTCCAACAATACGGCACCACCACCTCGCATCTGAACCACCACTGCAACGGTCAAGAAGCCACTTCCAATGATGATTTTAGAACAAATCAAAATTCAAATTCAAATCCTCCTGTTACAGGTATGTCCCTACCTCAACTTTTACTAACTCCCCATGCTTTACCTGTTGTGGTGTCATGCCCTATGCCCACAACAGATACACAGTCAACACACCCTACTCTAAATAGTTCAAATCCCAGCAGCAACGCATCTAGTCAAACTACTTATCCGGAACAGCCATCCACAAGTGCTACAGATGTCACATCCCAACCCATTTACACACTGGTCAACCAATACACCACCCACCAACAGGTTCTTACCCCTCACATGCCCTGGATACTATCCCAAATGCACCCACAAATTCAACACCATGTATGGCCTCACCTCAACCACCTGAACACCACATGTCACAGATACTACCACCCCATGATAATACACCATCTCGGGTTGATATTGTTACCAATGCACCACTAAAAATGGCACTCAACTACCACCACCACCCGCAGAATGAGGAAGTAATCTCCTTCCCACTTGACATTGAAGATTCAGGGTTAGCTACAATGAAATGCAGTCTCTTGGGTTTCTTTGTTCACAAAAACCTCCCATTTGGTTTGATTAATGACATCTCTCGTTCCCTCTGGAGTGACATGGGACTTATCAAAATCACTAGCTCTGTCAAAGGACTCTTTGAATTTCATTTCTCATCTCCTAACCAATGTGACCTTATTCTTACCCAAGGTCCTTGATTCTTTGCTAGTCGTCCCCTGAATTCAATATGGACAATCACTCCTCCTCTTTCCCTATTTGGGTTAAAATTTTTGGGCTCCCTCTACACTATTGGACCCCACCTGGACTGAGCTTTGTTGCAAGCACCATTGGTATACCAATTTGTGCTGATGCAGTTACTGAAAGCAGATCTAAAACCAGGTTTGCAAGGCTCTGTATTGAAATTAACTGTAACTCATCCTTTCCAACATCTTTGAAACTTAAGCTTCACTCGGGGAATGTTATTAGCCTAAGATTTGAATACCAAAATGTCCCCTCTATTTGTTCCAAGTGCAAATCCTTTGGCCACCACCATCCCCCCCCCCCCCCCCCCCCCCCCCCCAAATCAACCACCACTTCCAATCCCTCAACCCAGTCAACAGAATGGCAAACTCCCCCCCCCCCCAAAAATCAACCACCCCCACTTCCAATCCCTCAACCCAGTCAACAGAATGGCAAATGATACCCTATGCCGTATTCTTCAAAACTGTTCATCTTCTTCGCCTCCGGCGAAGTTCAGAGCTTCCGTATTGTTTTATTTAACTATCTAGGTTCAATTTATGTTCCAGAATTAATTATATATAGGTTTCATACATCATCGACATGAATTAAAACCTGTTTAAAAATCGACTAAATCATTATTAAAACAAGAACGTGTATAAACCATTAAACCTTTTAATTCAATGCATTTAAATTCACTACAACCATACTTATAAGATCAGTTTTAATGTACCTAGGCATGCACAGAACACAAGTTTAAGGGAAATAGTTAGAATAGAGACTTGCGTTTTGAATCAAAACCCCGTCGCCGTCTTCCTAAGCTTTCCAACGACGTCTGTTCATTGTCAACCTCCTATTGCTCACCTTCCTTCCTCCTAGGTCCGTCCTTTAAACCATAGCCGAAATCCTCATTGTAATCTCTCTGTTTTCCTCACAACTCTCTGTTATGACTCTCTGCCTCCACTGTGCCGTAAATAGGGTTCTAAAACCCTAGGCAGACATACTACAAATATTTATAGGCAAATATAATTTGTAACCTAAATATATTTACCTAAGGAAAACAAAGGAAAAATTATATACCAACTATATGTATGCAAGTCGGTAACCTAGAATCCCGTGATATTGTAAGTATAAA